ATCACACCACGCCATTGGGTCTGGAAGAAAATCACAAGAATTTAATGAGAGGGTGCGAGCTAACAAAAAAAAAAAGGAAACAATTTCAATCAATAAAAATATATGCTTTCAATAATTTGTATCCACCAAAAAATCATCACAACCACGCCATTGGGTCTGGAAGAAAATCACAAGAATTTAATGAGAGGGTGCGAGCTAACAAAAAAAATGAAACAATTTCAATCAATAAAAATATATGCTTTCAATAATTTGTATCCACCAAAAAATCATCAGAGCATCTAAATTCAAACATATATTAGATGTCCATCAAATATTATATTAGATGTCCATCAAATATAAATGAAATTTAATTATATAATCAAATCAATTAAATAATTCTAACTTTAAATACCTATCTAAGATGAACTTGATGCATGAACCTAGAAGTTCCTCTAGAAGTTGCACAACTAGTCACTTGAAATCATAAAGTAATAGGTGAGTTTACAAGAACAAACTCAGTAGATAAAACCCTAATAAGTAAAACTTAAACGACAAAGTGTGAGACTTAAATATGAGCAAAGAAAAGAACATGAGTGAAAGATAACCATTATAGTACTAAAATTATGGATAGTGTTTCAAGATAGATTTTTTTTTTAATTAGAATTCATTTAATATTGCTTTAATACAATAGAGTTCATAAGAATTATCCATGCAAACTAATAATCACTGCATTCAAATGCTAATATATTCACTTATACACATCTTATATTTATACATCCACCAATGGCTCGTTAGTCAGTTTACTATAATACTCTGTTGGGAAAGGTAGACACTAATCCCATGAAAATTCAATAATTTCTTATAGAGTCATCACATTGAGGACTCATCAATCTAGTTGGCAAATATCCAGAAGGGTTAAATACTCGCATTTTTACATGCATCAAACACACAAGCCTGTATTATATAAATTTTATAAAAAATACATAAAATAACTTCTTCGAAATAATAAAATTTGATTTTCATAATGTAAACTATTGCTAATGCAGTTGTAGACTTAATTTAAATATATATTTACAATCATTACTGTATACCCATGACTACATATGCAAGTACCTATTCACAGTTGTCTTGCAGGTGTCGTTCAGGTTGAACGGAAGAAAAACCCTTTGCTCTCTCGGATCAGCCCGTTCGAGGGACTCACTCAGGAGCTGGAGAGAAGCTTAAAATTGGAGTATGGCGGACTAGCTTTGACACAACTTTTAGGCAATTACCCTCCCCGGCGGGGGCAACCTCAAAAGTTCCTTTATTAGTCAGGCAAATTTTTATCCATCCCGGCCAGTCAAGCCTCACATGCGAGACACATCCACAGTTAAGCTAATGACACATATCTTCCCCACAAGGCATCTCTTGCGATGTGATCGGCCTCAGGACATCATAAGGATGACCTCATCCGAATTCTTGCTATAAGTTGGTCCGATCTCCCAACTACATTCTGACACTACTTGCCCTTTCACCTCAATTGGGCGACCTCAAGCCGACTTCCTGCCGATGCCTACTCGATTTGCGAGTTCGTCCTACTTGTATCCTCTCTCACAAAGATCGCTACTTCACTCGACACAGACCATCAGGTTACATCAAAGATTGATGGAATAATTATTGTGTCTTGTACATATCCACCTCAAGCCATATAAAAGGGGGGAATCATCACTATCATCATCAAGAGGACCACTATCATCACAAGTATTTTTCCCTTTCCTGAAGGAAGAGATATATTATGTCATTCTTAGCTTAAGCTCTGAAGCACAAAGCCCTCTCTTATACTACTTTTGTATATCTGGCTTGGATAATAAAAAAATTATCTAGATCCATAATCTCTCTCTCATCTTCTCTTTCTCTCATATTATGATTTCATCATATTCATCTCCACGATCTTAGTCTAAATGTGGCCTAAAGTACGGTTCGGCATTAGCTACCGGACAAAATATGATCCAACAATTACTATATACCAAGCTCATCTTGGTTATATACTTTAATGATAAACCGATAAGTATTAAACCTATATGATTGAATGCATATAACAACAAATAAAAGATTGAATTAATCTTTTAAATAAAACACCATAATGTAGAAATAAATTTGTACATAACTTCATCTCTAGGGCCTATAAAAATGGCACTTATTTATAAAAATAACTAATATATATCCACTTGGAAAAAAAACTATAAACATGTAGAGCAAAAAATTGGTGTTAGGATTTACCCAAATCAAATTGATGAAGAAGATGAAAGTACAAGAAGAGGAAAATGACTAAGGTATATGTGCTTCTTTGCTTGGCCTCCTCACCATTTGCTCATTGGGTAAACGAAGTCATCGATCGGCAAATCTGCTTAACCGTGAAGCTTCAAGCACAACCATGGCCGCTCGTCTCCTTTGTTAGGCATTGCATTCCACAGGAGACCGATGTCAAACATCACCTCCTCGATTCATGTTTGCCGGCTAGGTTGCAATGCCTCCCCTCTCACTTTCTCACCATAACTCTCTCTTCCTCTCATGCATATGATGCCCTAAGTATCACTTCAAAACTTTAAAGGCACGGGGTTGCATGTGAGACGACGGGAACCAAGTTAGTTGAGTCGATTCGGGTCGACTCTGCTTATTTTGGGCTGAGTCAACTCTGGTTATTTCGTGTTATTACATATATAGTCTTGGGCTACAAACATATATAGCAGAAGGTCGGGCTCTTGATTGATTACTAGAGAGAGCCATTTTAACTTTCTAAGAGTAATGTGTGATTCCTTTCTTTTGTCAGCAGTTGATGATTATGTATAGATGACATATAACACTTTCTCATTGACGTTAGATGAATCGTGCTATGATCAGACCATTAATAGACGTGGTGCTATGATTGGACCATTAATAGATGTGACGTCAGAGTTTGACGGAAATGTCATGGACCTACCGACCCAGAGCTAGCTGAAAGGAAGTATTAGGTGATGCTTGTCGACTTGAGAGCTGAATGGTATTGAGATGCCATCATGCAGGATTATGCTTCTGTTATATCATTGAAATTGAGATCATTTTCATGATTCATTTTGGACATGTTATTTGATAATTTTGTTTAAAAAGTCTTTCTTTTTATGGGAAGGAGGTGGGAAAAATGGACTTGGAAGTTTTGTCAGATACGATAGTGCTCAAATTATTTTCGATCGATGAGCTTAATCGTATGGGTGACAACCAACCATTTTAGCTTCAAGCAGTTTGATGTGCGATTTTAACTATAGTTTCACATGCCTTAAACAATCTCTTACTCATACAAGAAGTTTGTACATCAACCATCACTCCCATTCAAATGGAAGTTTTTGAACATGATTGAGTATTATGCACCAAGAGCTCACTTTCTCGTATGAAGTGTTGTGGAAATCCCTCGCTCTTTAACCTTTGTTCAAACATGATAGAAGGCGACCAACATACAAATCACACAAACCACTTGATTTGAATTGAATCATTGTCTTTAATAGTGGTAAAAAGGGGACAAAGTTTTGCCAAATACAGTAATGCTTAAGCCATTTTCAATCCACAAGCTTAAAGCTTATGGATGAAGGTCAACCTTTTGATATTTTTACAATAAATTTTCTAACAATTTAATGTGAGATTCTACTCATGTTATAGCTCTCTATATCAACTATCACTCTTCCTCAAATAAAATGTTTTCAACATAATTGAGTATTACATATCAAGAGTTCACTCAATGTGTGAAGTGTTATGGGAATCACCCGGACATCCGCTCTTGAACCTTTGCTCAAACATGATTGTAAGTGGCTTAGACAGAAATCACATGAATCATCAACTTTAATACCACTTATTACGGGGAAAGTGAACCAAAGGGGTATCGAGCTTGCGCTATATACAAAAGTGATGAAGTTCATTTTCATCCAAAAAGCTTAGATTTATAGATAAGGGCCAACCAGCTGTATTTCTATACCACTATATCACACCTCCAAAATTACTACTATTATTATCATGTTAGAAACATTGATTTATGAAAAGGTGGTTTTTTTTTTTTTGCTATTATTTTTTATCTTAATATTATAAAGAACAACTGCCTATATCTTTAATCACGGACACGTGTATCAGATACACGTGTACTTTTGAAAATAAATAATATTTTAATTGGATACGTCTTTGGCGTATCCGACACGTATCGGTGGAGTATCGGAGGCATATCCGTGTATCGGTGTATCGGATACAACACGCCTTCATAAATAGGTGTATTGGTGCAACATAGCTGCCTATATCTTGAATCTATTATAACCGTCAATACAAATTTTAGAGTTAAAGCTAACTAGCTAGAATAAAAAAGTACCTCAATATAATTATTTTTTAAGATAATATTATAGAGATTTAAAAGTAAAATTTAATATAGAGCACACAGACTCATTATACCATATGAATTCAAGTGTTGAGCAAGAAAATGTTGATGATTATAGCCATATTAAAATTTTATGTAGGAGATTTTTAGATTAAGGCGTTGCAAAACTCAAAAAATTAAATTAATAATGATTATACTTGAAAGAGGTGGGCATACCACTGATTGAAGAGGAGGTTGTTAAATGTAGAAATTACTAATTTTGGTATGGACAAGTGAATGTAAAAGATATTCCAATAAGATGGGTAAATTGAACATGTGGGGAAGAATGAAGAGGGAAAATAGTGGATAAAAAATAATGCAAATGTAAAAAGATTTGTGCATAAAACTAACATGTGATATAAAATTCAATAGAAATAAAGAAAAACAGGTTTTATCAAAATTGACTCTAAACAATTGGGATCATAATTATGATGATAGTGAGCCTTTTGATATCTAAAGTGCATAATTTAATTAGGGATATTTTATCGTGATTTTTCTTTCAATTTTGCTTACAAATTAGACTATACTCTTTATAATATTTGTCCTTTTCTTTATATGCCAAGTACTTATCTTTTATTTACTGCAGTGTTATCATTTTTTTGCACTGTTACAGGATGAGAGTTACTGGCCCTTATTGCGTCCATTGCCTTCTTATGGATACGGAAGGGAGCATATAGGACCTCGATATGGAAGCCTGATCCATGGTCAGCATCTTAAGGATGTTGTCATTACAGGTTTGAATATTCCTGAATCCTGATCACCACCGCTCTTGATTCTCTCTCTTTTTATCAAATTTTGAAACTGTTTTATATTGGACAATCCTCTCAAAATTTAGTGGATCTATGAAATGTTAATGAAAATTCAAGCTATATAGCAGCTATTAGGCAAGCTTGACAGTTCTCCTGCTGAAATATTTGAGATATATTCCACTTTCTGCAATTATATAGTCAACATATTTTAGAACAGAATCACTAAGAATTTAGGATAAGTGATTTTTCAATCAGATTTGGACTGTCTGAATATGAGAGTGGCAGGGTATTAATGTTGGTAACGAGTATTTTATAAATGTGACAGATTTGGCAAACCTAAAAAAAAAAAAAAGAGTTTTGGACTTTGTAGCATTACTTAAGATTTAAGCTTCTCTTTCTCCAAAGGAAGAGTGGGCAAGAATCAATGGTTAAATTATCTGTATTCTAGAGGTCTTAGATTCGAATCATGAAATACTCTCTTCAAATATAGGGATAAGGCTGGGTACCATAACCCCTCTTAAGACCTACATTAGTTCTATGCGTGCTTAACTTTCTTTTAGCCAAATAAATTTAAGTTTGGCTTCGCTCGGCCTAGGGCTGGTTAAAAGATGAGCTATGTGGATGATGAACTTCAGATTAAGCACTTAAACCTCTATATCACCAGAATTAAGTTAAATTTAATTAAAATAAATTTAGTTATTATTTAGTTTATCATTTTAAGCTTATATTTTGATGCCAAATTAATAAGTTTTAAACTTTTCATAAGCTTATCTTTTCAAATAAATTAAACTTATTTTTCATAGTTAAATTAATTTTCATTCATATGAAAATAATTTAATTATCATTATATTTATAATCATAATTAAGCTCTCATAATGGTGAATTACTTCATATTTTTATAATGTTAGAATACTTGTAAAAATGTGCTTAGTCCAAGATACAAACAAGTAGTTTTCTCAGCTTATATTAACTCAATTTACAACAGCTTAAGTTTTTCATTAATCAAACGGTTTAACCTCTCTTAAGGTACAAACCTACTACCAAAAACGCCAACCAAACATCCAACATGGATAAATTGAATTATTATCAATGCAAGGTATTATTACTGTAACAACACTCTGATTTCCTTAGCTTATAATTTGAATTATTTGACTGATTTATTGATTCCTTGTTTAGATCAATGGGTTTCTAACTTTTAGCCCAATTAAATGAAATTTTAAATCTTAGCCAGTGCATTCTAAAGAAAGCTGCTTCTAGAAACTTTTCTTTTCTGTGAACTTTCTACTAATTCATTGAAACACATCAGATGAAAGTTTAGGCTTCGTTTAGGACGGCTTGATTACTGCTTCTTAAAGCAGTTTTTCAGTACAAAATTTATAATTTTTGTACTAAAAGTTATTTTAAGAAGCAGCAATAAAGCCGTTCCAAACGAAGCCTTAAGCTCGATAAACTTTCGAGGAGAATTCTAAGTAGTGATGCTAATGAATTTCTGCCAAATTCTGAACAGGGCACAACGGCATAATAGACGGACAAGGTCAATCATGGTGGGCAAAACATAAGAAAAAGCTACTTAACTATACAAGAGGTCCCCTTGTGCAGTTCATGTGGTCTAGAGACATTGTGATCTCCAACATTACCCTTCGTAATTCTCCTTTCTGGACCATTCATCCCTATGACTGCAAAAATGTGACCTTGTCAGGACTCACCATTTTGGCTCCACTCCATGAAGCTCCAAACACGGATGGTATTGATCCAGGTAAGCTACCATGCAACCTCTGCACCTTCGTTATGTATGGGATTATGCCATTAAGGATGTGTTTGGTGCAGCTTTAGTTGACTGTAAATATAACTGTTACGAGAAAAACAAATTTTTTAAAAAATCTTTGCAAGAATTATATATATTTTTATAGTAGATAACAATTTTTTTATCGTAATCACGCTAACGGATTTGAAAAAAACCTGCTTAAGCCGCTATCAATGCTTACAGATTCTTGCCAAAACATGTTGATAGAAAATTGCTTCATCAGCGTGGGAGACGACGGCATCGCCATCAAGAGCGGCTGGGACCAGTACGGCATCGCCTACGGCCGCCCTTCTTCCAATATCCTAATCCGCAACGTCACCCTCCGTTCCATCATCAGGTCATTCCCCGCCCTCCTCTACCTTTTCCCCAATCTCAACAATTCCAAACCAATAATACTCTACCCTTCCTTTCATCCTCAGCGCCGGGCTATCAATCGGCAGCGAGATGTCCGGCGGCGTCGCCAATGTGACCGCAGAGAACGTCCTCATTTTCGAATCGCGGCGCGGAGTGCGCATCAAAACTGCCCCTGGTCGCGGCGGCTACATACAAAACATTGAATTCCGCAACCTCACCCTTGACAATGTGCGCACCGGCATCGTGATCAAGACGGACTACAACGAGCATGCGGATGCGGGGTTCGACCCTCAGGCACTTCCGGTCATTGACGGGATATCGTTCGAGGGCGTACGAGGACGTGGGGTGCGCGTGCCGGTGCGGATGCACGGCAGTGAGGAGATCCCGGTGCGTGGAGTGAAGTTCAGGGACTTGTTAGTTGGGATCAGCTACAAGAAGAAGAGGATCTTTCAGTGTTCTTATGTGGAGGGGAGGGTTGTTGGACCGGTCTTCCCTGCGCCATGCGAGGACCTTGATCTTTATGATGAAGAAGGGCGGCTTGTGAAGCGGGCAACACATAAGAACGATATCGTCGAGGTCGACTACGACGGGTAATGGTGAGATAACAGTTTGCGTTGGCATATCTTGATCCTCGGTATAATTTAATCATTATGAGAAGACAAATTACAGGCAAAAACTGTTTACATGGAAGTTCGTCTGGCTCAACAGCTGATGCATCTGACTAAATCGGAGCAGGTAGTAGAAGATGGATATGATCTATTTGCTGATGACCATCTTTTATGTGCCAAATTACTGTGGAGAGTGCTGACAATTCTGGTGAACTAATGAGAATTGACATCGTTTTCTGCTCCTTTCAAATCCTCATACCTTATGCGAGAAAGGTAGGAGATCAATCCGAATGAAGAACAAACGAAAAAAAAAAAATCATAGGACGAAGAATATCGATTTTTTTACAAGGGCAAAAGCACACCATTAGAAGAGGAAAAAAAAGCAAAAAGAAAAAAGAGAAAAGGGAAAATTCTTATCCCCTGTTGTGTTTTCTACACTTGTCATGCTACTATCTTGTTGGTAGAAGTAAAAAATGCATATGTTTGGTGGCGTACAGGCAGGCTCAATAATTGTTTATATCTTGATTTATTTTCAATTGAAGTCCATTGTAAGCTACATTTTTCCTTCTACAAAGATTAGATTTTTGCTTCGTTTGGAACGACTTTTTTATTGTTTCTTAAAACAGTTTTTTTACTAAAAAATTGTTTTAAGAAGCAGTAAAAAAGCCGTCTCAAACGAAGCATTTATTGCTGTAATATTATATACCAGTGCAACTGTAAGTGGTGTCCTATAACAGAAGAGCTTCTCTAGAGTTTATCTGAGGTGAGCCTAATTACATCAATGGTTAAGTTTCCTCTATGAACCGGAGAAGATCTGGCTTGGAGCTGATCAAGATGGTCCACTTCACTTCGGTACGTTACACTGCCTAATTTAACATGTCCTTGATGATAATATGATTTGAAGATCCAATATTGGATTAATTATTTGCATACATCAAGATAGTTTCAAAAGCAATGATGCATAGCTGAAAATGTGAGGTTAATTGAACTGACATGTTGAATCAAAGTTGGAATGTCTAGAAATCATATACATTTGTGGCCCTATCCATAGAGAAATTATTTTGTGCGGGCATCGGACTGTTCGGAGACGAATGAGAGCACGTTACATCACTCGATACACAAGTAACACAACAGTACACAGCTCTGGTACCTTAAGCCATGCAAATGGCAGTGGTTTTGTCGGAGAATGGGAGGAGAAATTATTCTGTGCGGAGTGATCCAGACAGAGAGAATCGTCTGGACTTGTTGCGTATTTGTAAATATTCAGTTGTGAGTATTTGTTGAGTATTACTGAGTATTTGCTTATTTGTTGAATATTAATTGAGTATTTACAAATACTCAATAAATATGCAGTAATTTGGACGATTCTTCTTGTCCGATCTCCGCACATAATGATTTCTCAAATGTGTGAGAGAGAGAGGGGAATAAAAAAGCCTAGCTGCTTTCATTACTCGATTGATGCCGCTGTATATTTCTCCCTAAAAAAAGTCTTAGGAGCTCCTATTTCATGAATGTAGTGAAGTACTTTGTTGTGTAAATTATATAAACAAGATTAAGCCAAAATAAGGGTCAATTTTTCTTCAATATAAATTTGAAGATTAAAAAGATGCCATATGAGTAAAGAAGAAATGTGTTTGTTCCTATTTTTAAGAATAAAGATGATTCACAAGTGTGCTAATTATAGAGGAATTAAGTTAATTTGTCATATTTTATAATTATGGGAGAGAGTTATTTAGCGGATAAAATTTTGAAGTAATTATTATTAAAAAATTAATTAACTGAAAAATTATGAAAAATAATTAGATGTAAACCACAGTCGCCAGTTAGACAAAAGTAATTTGATTTGGTTACTAAGGTAATTTGGTTTTTCTTTTTCATTGACCGTTCAGGTCAGTTGTTATTTTCTCTATTATTTAATTTAATATGTATAAATTTTTATTATTATTAATAATTTTATAGAAACTTAAATAATGATTATTTTTTATATTAGTTAAAAAATAGCAATAAGCGAAATAAATATAATCACATATAAAATTATTTGATTATAATTATTCTAAACTAAATTAGACCTTTATTTAAATGAATTTAAGGTCGATCATATCAAATACTTTTCAAAAAAAGTTTATGTTGATTTTGAGAGTTTATTTCAATTAGGTTTATTAGTGAGAATGGAGGAGTGTGTAAGTCACATGACGAAAATATCAAATCGATGTCAACTGTGCTAGTTATAGTTTTGTTGCGTTCTGGAATATTCGCGGCGGTAGAGAAATATAAATTTTAATGTCTTAGTTTTGTACGAAGATCCATCTTGCATACAGATAAAAAGATAGGGTGTACTATTTTTAAGAGACATGAATATTTTTACATGGAAAATTCCTAAAAAAGAGAAAAAATCATGAGGCCTGGTCCAATTTGAATGAATTCACTAGTATTTGTAGTTGATTACAAGTGAGGCCCTTCATTAAATTGGAGGGAAGGCTTTAGATTGATTAAACAAATATACATCATGATTAAATATTTAAATAAGTAAAAAAAGATTAAAAATATAAATAGACTCGAGGTTTGTTTGGGATAATTTTTTATTGCTTTTTAAAGCCGTTTTTTAGCACAAAAATTTTAATTTTTGCACTAGAAAGTTGTTTTAAGAAGTAGTAAGAAACTATCCCAAATGAAGCCTTAGTTGCCCGTTAAACCATTGATTGGGCATTGAAGTGGTCATTAAATAAAGATGCAGTAAGAAAGTTATTCTGAATTAGTTTAAGGAACGTTTTTTAAAAATAATTTAAAAATGAATACAACAACTAAATGATTTGACGCATTTTGATTACTTTAAATGATTTGTCGCGTTTTGAATGCCTCATATCATTTGGCGTATTTGGTTTAAAATAAACAAAATAATAGAAATGAATAAGAGAGAAAGGAGGAGAAAGAGGATTATCAATTTAACTTATTAAATCATTTAGCGTATTCAGAATGCACCAAATCATTTAGCTATTTTGCTCCTTCTTAAATTATTTTTTTAAATATGATTCTTAAACTCATTTTAGTCAATAACATGCTCCTTTTTAAATCTAGTCATTTGCCATCTCCAAGCGAAAAATTCATTTTTCACTTCAAAACTCAGTAAGTACACTTCAAAATATAGTAAGTTATCTCCAACCTAACTTTATTTCTTAACAACAAAAATGAATATTTTGCGTATATTCTTTCTCATATTTTTTATATTTATTTTTAACTATATCTTTATATTTATCAATTTTTGGCATTAGAGTTACTTATAATTTTTTTAACAAAAATAAATCTTGTTCGATAAATTAATTCGGAATACAAATATATTAATGTTGTATCTTAATTATGCTATAGCATTTTATATTATTTAAAATGAATAACCTAATTTAAATAAATTAATTGTCAAAAAAATTTTAAATTGAAAAATGCATAGATAAATTATTAAGTCTTAATTATTTAATAACAAAGAACCTAAACTTAATACTTATACTTAATAAACTAATTTTTTAAATTAAAAAAAAAAAGAAATGCATTGGTGAGCAAGTACAACCCCAATATTGGGGTCACATTGTTCACCACGTGAATATGGCGTAGGGTTTGACGTTCGGATGGAGGAGCTCGCGGACGGCATACATGCTTATCCCGTTCGATTGTAGATGATCTAAATAAGTAAAGAGTGAATAACCAAATGATCACAACTCAGCTTGGTACGGTCTCGAGTTCGGAGTCTTGTGTTTGCAATGTGTATGCGAGTACGTCTTAATTGGCCTAAATGTCCAAATAAAAAATCAGATGATGATTACCTGACATCATGCTCATGCAAAGCTTACAAAATATATTATCTATATTAAAATAAAAAAGGAGGGGACAGGCTCACTCAATAAATACCCCATGTGAGAATCAATCATATTTTTCAAAGTATTTGATCTCAATTCTCATGCGAGGCATTAAAACTAGTAGAGTTTTTGAGTGGTAGCTAATGGCTAATGGCTAATGGCCTAATGGGTGGTGGGAGAAGACCTAATTCCACTGTTCTTTTCAACCATGGAGGAATAATTAACAGGTTTCTCACTACAAATTGGTTCGCCACTACTTCATTGCTTCAAGGGGCCATACTTTCTGCTCAAAGTGCTGAATTAATCATTAATAGATTCTTCTTCTTCTTTTCTTAATTGTACATATTGGAGTAAGATGGAACAGATTTAGAGCAATGCTTAGAGAAAGATTTTAAGACTCTGAATTGATTTGATCTTGGTCTTAATATAAATTTTTTAGGCTTAGTTTGGGACATCATTCTTACTATTTTCAGTTCACTTACAAATCTTCTCCACCTATGACTCTAATAATGTTATGTGTGGAATATGACTGTGTTGATCAATCAGATTGGTATGTTGCCTTGGACCTCAAGTTTCTCGTGTTCGTTGGGGGGGAGGATACCCCTTGTTTGTGTTTGGGTGGTTTGCACACGAATTTTTTTCCCCATATAACGCTCCAGTGCAACATACCCGAGCTCCCCAGCACTTTGTTCTCATGCGTCCTAGCGCTGAACGACAAAGAGCAGAGCACCGTAACGACTTAGATATGGCGTCACAGTGGTGCAAGACAAATGCTTGAGTGCCACAACCCGTGCGCCCGCGTCCGAGCCAATCTTATATATATAATCTATGTATGAGCTTGCTTTAATTGGCCCTAATTAAAAAAAAAAAAAAAAAAAAAAAAAAAAAAAAAAAAAAAAAAAAAGAGAGAGAGAAAGGATTCAATTTTGCATTAAAGTATACTTTAATTATTTTTATTGCATCAGCATTATAAGAAAAACTCGAATATTTTATTGGCTTTAAAGCGACATTATCTGTTTTATTCATAAATAAAGCCATGCAAAGTTTTTTCACTAACAAACCCATATTATGGAAACAATTATCTGTGCATCACTCATATCTGGTCCATTTAAGGTTGTAATTTGTAAACCAGACCACTTTATATCAAATTGAAGAAATTTTTTTCTTTCTATGGTGTTAAAACAAATATTGCAAAAGAAACCTTTATGTTAATTTATATATGTCTTTTCATGTTTGAGACAATTTGAAAATTTTTTGGGCTTTCTTGAATAATCCTTTGGATGAAAAGTATGAAACAGATAATGATTAGGTCATATTTTTTTATCGTTGAATTTCAATATTCATTTGATAAAATTTATTTAAATGGTGAATAATTATATTAGAGCAAAAAGTTTAAGTTGGCCCTTATTAATCAAATCTGTCTGTATTACCTAATATGATTTTAATTTTGGGGGGAAATTAAGGGCATAGCACCCTCTTTTTATTGACTATAAAACATAATTATATGGAGACATTGCCCAAAAAGAGCAACTTAAGAACATGTAAAAGATTAAGGCTTTGTTTGGGACAGCTTTCTTGCTGCTTCTTGAAGCAGTTTTTTAGTTCAATAATTAAAAAATTTGTACTAGAAAGCAGCTTTAAGAAGCAACAAGAAAGCCTTCCCAAACGAAGCCTAAGTAAAAAATAAAGTATAAGGGCATCTCCAACTGGACCCCAAACAGAGCGTTCGAAGTGGCCGCGGAGCTCCTACCGAACGCCAGATTCAGCGCAATTTTTTGTGAGGTAGAGGTCCAACGTACGCGTTTCTTCCGATTGGAGAAAGAATATCTTTTTGATGTTAAAAATATAGTGCGTATTTTGGAGTGTAAAATGTGATTTTTTATTGGAGATGATCTAAACTCCTGCAAAAATATGTAATGCTCGAGAAGATATATAAAATAACTTGAAAAGCAGAAGATCAATTTGGAAAATAATAAGGTTCTGGGTTTATAATGGACAAAATATCAACCCAGCCTTATATATCCGTCATTGATAAGAAAGATTTGTAATCCTAGTTGTCATTTCCATCCAGAGGAAGTGATTGATAACATAGCCTCGAATGGGAGTAATACCTATTCATCAGAAAAATTATTCTGTGCAGACATTGGACGATTCATAGATCAATCAGAATGCCGGTACACAATAATATCGAGCAAAAAAGAATGTGCGCATTGTGGCTGGTCTCCAAAGGACATTCCTAGCTCTATGCAGAATAAATTTTATATTGATCATCATTTGATGATTAGATCTATCCTTTTGAATCCCGAGGGTCGCGAAGCAAGCCTTTGATTTCCTGTTAGATTTTCTAAGTAGAACAAAAAATTAATTTAAATATTACAAACATGCACAAATAAATAAAAAGCTGATGATATCTGCCTATTTATATGATTATATCCACTCGTTCACAGAATCACTCCCTAGCCTTCACAGACCGCGATTCGCTATATATAAGGAACCCAACGCATGCTCTCGCTCACTACCAAACGGCAGCCATGGCTCCATTCATATTTTTCTTCCTGGTCGTCCTCCTTTCCTCCATAGCCACCTTCTCCTCCTCTAATAACCAGACCACCTACATTGTCTTTATGAACCCTTCTCTGAAACCCACTCCAATAAAATCCCATTCGCTCTGGTACGCCACCGATCTTCAATCCCTCTCCATAGATCCTTCCCGCCACCTTCTCTACTCCTACTCCTCTCTCTTCCCAGCCTTTGCTGCCTCCTTCCTCCCCCACCATCTCCCACTTCTTCACGCTCACCCCTCCGTCCTACTCGTCCTCCCTGACCCGCTCCTCCTTCCGCTGACCACCCGCACACCCCTATTCCTCGGCCTCCCACCTTTTTCCCCACCCGTAACCTCCTCCCTTTCCTCCGATGTCATCATCGGCGTCCTCGACACTGGCGTATGGCCTGAATCTCCCTTCTTCTCAGACTCTGGCCTCCCCCCTATCCCCTCCCGATGGCGCGGCCAATGCGAGTCCTCCATCGACTTCCTCCCTTCCCTATGCAACCGCAAGCTCATCGGCGCTCGCTCCTTCTCTCGCGGCTTCCATGCCGCCGCTACCGGAGGAGAATCCGAAAATTTCTCTGCCCGTGACCAAGATGGGCACGGCACACACACGGCATCTACCGCCGCCGGTTCACTAGCCCTCAACGCCAGTCTCTTTGGCTACGCTCGCGGCACCGCACGCGGCATGGCTCCCCTTGCACGCCTTGCGGCCTACAAGGTCTGCTGGTCCACTGGCTGCTACGGCTCCGACATCCTTGCCGCCATGGAGCAGGCCCTCGACGACGGCGTCGACGTCCTCTCCCTCTCCCTCGGCGGCAGCTCTGCTCCGTTCTCCCGCGACCCCATCGCCGTCGGGGCCCTCGCTGCCGTTGCCCGCGGCGTCTTTATCGCTTGCTCCGCCGGTAACTCTGGCCCCGCTCGCTCAACGCTCACTAACACCGCCCCTTGGATCACCACCGTCGGTGCCGGAACACTTGACCGCGACTTCCCTGCTTATGCTACTCTCGGCAACGGGAAGCGCTTCGCCGGCGTCTCCCTCTACAGCGGGAATGGCATGGGCGAGAATCCTGCACCTGTCGTCTATGGAAAAGGATTTCAATCCAAAGCCAATAACAACAGCAAACTGTGCTTGTCCGGTAGTCTGGACCCGGCAGAAGTGAAAGGTAAAGTGGTTTTCTGCGACAGAGGAGTCAATGCGAGGGTTGAGAAAGGGCAAGTGGTGAAGGATGCCGGAGGAGTTGGAATGATACTGGCTAATACTGCGGCTAATGGGGAGGAATTGATTGCCGACAGCCACTTGCTGCCGGTGGTGGCATTGGGATTGGGAGAAGGAGATAAAGTTAGGAAATATGCGACTTCGGTTTCGAATCCAACGGCTTTGCTTTCTTTTGGTGGAACGGTGGTAGACATCAGGCCGTCGCCGGTGGTGGCTGCTTTCAGTTCGAGGGGACCGAACACGGTTGTACCAGATATTCTGAAACCGGATTTGATCGGACCAGGGGTGAACATATTGGCTGGATGGTCCGGATCGATTGGGCCTACCGGGTTGGAAAATGATGGGAGGAGATCGGAATTCAATATCTTGTCCGGTGAGAACTAGTACATCTGCTTTGTTAATTACACACTGGTCTTCTTTTTTTGGGAACTATTGCCTCAGCTTGGTTAATTGCATACTTGCATTTTATCTAAACACAACACTCAAAATTATTTTATTTACATATTTAATATTGAATCATTACTACTTATATACGATACTATTCCATTAATCTCATCTCTCACGCACGCATGCTAAGAAAAAGTCACAATGGAATCTCATGATGAAGGGCAGTAACGTGACAATAGTGTTTGAGGAGAGAAGATCATGATGATATGTCATTAGGGGAAGGCCATCAATAGGAGAGATTATTACGTGTGGAGATCGAACATAGAGAAACATTCTATTTTGTCTATGTGAATAGTAAAAGCTCAGTTATTTTTCATCACTGTATTTTTACTGTTCAACACTGTGCTTACTATTCATAGAGACAAAACCGAATGCTTCTCTATATCCGATCTCTGCATGTAATAATCTCTCCATGAACAGAACTTGCTCATATAGTCTAAAACTCACCACCATAAAGAAGATGAGAGGAAAGTCATGATAAGATCTTATTAGGAGATTATTGACAGGATTGTTAGTGGCACATCTGAAATCAGGGGCGGAACCCAGCCATTTTGCCCACCCTGAGAAATAAATGTCAAGTTAATAGAATGAGTTGTTTTATAATTTTGCCCCCTCTTAAAAGTTTCTTTTTGCCCTATATCCTAAAATAAACTTTTGTCTGCCCACCACCATAAAGAGGGGTACTTCAAGAGAAACTGCTCAAATTTGTTGAAATGGCAAAGAGCTGAGCTTGTAAAAGATGCAAATGTAGCAGTAGCAGCAGGTTTGGATAATGAATGGATTGATTCTGAAATATTATAAAACTTGGGCCAATGTGGAGATTATTGTGTTTTAATCCAATTTTAGGTTAGATTGTTTCTTAAGTTTATGTTATTATTGTAGTCTATTTTCTCTTTAAATAGGCATAAGGGTTGTAATATTGTGATCCCAAGCCAAGTAATAAAGATTACTCTAATTCCCTACTCTCTCTCTCTCTCTCTCTCTCTCTCTCTCTCTCACATCAAAAAGCTCAAGCTTCCTCCCAAGATCCAACAGTTAACATCGCGACTGTGGATATAGTGGCTGTAGAAATTATTTGAAAGAGGCAGTTCAGTGCGAGAGCTCTATGGAAGGCCGAAGGCAAGTTTAAGTGGGGTGGCGAAGAGGAGAGGGAGGGGGATGCTTAAGACATTGCTCTTAGAGAATATCAGACCAGACTCTTGCTTTCCCATCCCTTTCTACAGAAAACAAGACAATGGACACTAACATTTAAACTTTAGTTATGTTATTGTAAATCAGTATGTATAAAGTTTTATTACCTTTGAAGTGAACACCTGCAGATTTGTACAGAAAATGAACTATGCAAATAATTTTACTTCATCTATTTATACGAATGAAACAAAAAAAAAAAAGAATACTTTGCATGAAAACAGTTTACTTCACATTCAATTTTTATCAAGAAAGCCTCTAAATGCAAAATGCGTGCATCCAGGAACATCCATGTCATGCCCACACATCAGTGGCATTGCTGCTCTGCTGAAGTCTGCGCATCCTTTCTGGAGTCCTAGTGCCATCAAGTCTGCACTGATGACCACTGCCTATGTTATGGATAATACAGGATCTAGCCTAGTTGATGCTGATGGTTCCATTGCCACTCCACTAGCATATGGATCCGGCTATGTTAATCCACAGAAGGCCCTCAACCCAGGCCTCATATATGATATTAAACTTGATGACTACATTGCCTTCCTTTGCTCCATTGAACCCAACCTACAGCTCATTCAATCCATCACCAAAAGATCAAATATTACATGTTCTAGAAAACTAGCAAACCATGGCAACCTCAACTACCCTTCATTCTCCATAGTTTTCAGTCCCAAATCCGGGAAAGCAGTTAAATACACTCGTGTGGTGACCAATGTTGGCCCGACAGGATCTGTTTACAGCGTCGAGATCGACAGACCAGCTTCTGTTGGAGTGAAGGTGAAGCCAGCAAAGCTTGTTTTTAGGCAGGAAGGGCAAAAATTGAAATATACTGTGACCTTCACTTCGAAGATAGGAAAAGGCAGTGAAGCAGAGATGAAGTTTGGTTCAATTACATGGAGTGATGGAGAACATCAAGTAAGAAGTCCCATCTCTTATGCCTGGAGCTTGTTCTAAGAGTTGGACCTTGGCTTTATTGTTTATCAAGCAGCTGCTATCTAGATCGATTTTTGTTCTGGCTTTTTCCATTCGAAGAATATTGAAAATAAGGTTTCTCATAATAATTGTAAGCTCTTTCTTTTTCCTTTTTTTTTGCACATAGATGATGTTGAGGCCTTTGAATTATGTGGTTTACAGCAGCTACTGAAATGGGGAATTTATGAATTTATTGTTGTGCACTAGATTGAATATGGATGTGGTTGGCCTGCCTGGGATGTGTCATCTACTCACAGTTGGATCTTGTCCCGCTGAGAATATTGGGAAAAACGTCACAAGTTAAATATTATCAGGATGTAAGACATTTTCTTAGCTGCAAGGCAATTCTTTATATCTGGCATGTTAGTATCGTCTTGTAAAAATTAAAGATATAATTATATTAGTTGTTGCCTTAATTCCTTTATGATATAGAGTTTGTACATACATAAAAGGCTTACACTCATTATAACAGTATTTTGTTTTGTTGATGAAAATTTAGGTATCGGTACAATTTATTGATAAAAATAGGGATAATAGCCTAGTCAGTAATGAAGAAAAAAACCATAAAGGAATTAAGTACAGACAACATACCTATTGGGAAGTAAACCACACAATGAAAAACAAATAAGAAAAAGAAACAGAAAAGTGCTCCGGCATTTAACATGCAAAAACTTGAAACCAGGAAAACAACTATGAAGCTACACCACATCAAGAAATTCATCCGAAAAATTGGGAGAAATTGTTGAAATATCTTTTCTCGCTCTCTCTCTTTTGTTTTTTCTCACACAATTGTCAACTCAAAACAGATATAGAGATATACTTAAAAATAGATAAGAGACGAAACCCTTCAAGTAAAATAAGAAGAAGAGGGAAAAAAACTGCTCCGCCAGACTTGCAACATGGCGATGCTTGGGCTGGAGTGCCGCAACACTCCACTATCTATCTCCAACCCAAGCTTCGAACTCCAACATACAGTGTTGTGCCGCTGTATAACTATATGGATAGAATATTTTTTTTTAGCTTCACCCCCAAGCAAGGTGCGCAATGCCCCCTACGACCCCTATCGAGCTCCTCATCGAGCTCGACAGACAAAATTGAGATCTGAATCAATAGTACAACCCAAAATATTGACATAATCAAATTCCACACAAAACTAACAAGCACAAAGATCGAAAGAGTATAGAAGAGGGGAGAATGGGAGACAATGTGGGATTAAGGGAGGGAGGGAGAGGGGAGCGGTTAGACTAAAGGCCCATAGTCAATCATCATATCCTCAAAAGTGGTTTTCCAAAATAGTTTAAGCCATTCAATGCTAGAACAAAAAAAGAAAAAAACATTGAACCAAAAAAACTACATACCAAAGCATATTGTCTATATAAAAGTTAGAGAAATAAATCATCTGGAATACTCAAGAACACTGTTGAGCAAGTAGTAAAAAATTAACCAATGCAAGAAACCAATAACACTCCACAACTACATCTGACAAAACTTGTGCACCAGATAAATGGTGACCAGATAGCTTAGCCTGATAGCAACAATAGATAATTGGAGTAATTAAAAGGTTGAATAACAAAACTTTCACAATAACTAAAGACACAAAATGAGGTAACACTAAAATTTTATAATGATGCACTAAGCCCAGAAAAAATAAGTAAGATGTCAAAAAAAAAAAAAACATTGGCCATAACTACGTAACAACAATTTGCAAGTTCAACCAAGGCTACCAATCAAAGACTTAAGTTAGAGAGCACAAAGTTATCTTGCGATAATATTGATAAGTTTAGGTCAAGGATTGTTCTAATAATTGTTTGAGATGAATATTGAGAGGTTAGATGCAATAACACGACGAGGCTTACCCATAGGGTCCTCCTCTTGCCAAAAAGAATGTTATTCTCGGCTCTCCAAATGTGATAAGCCATAAAATAGATGGAGAGCATGGTGACAGGAAAAGCAGCTCAAAGATGGAGAAAGAGGTGATGTTATAAATTTGAGGAGTGGAGGGGAGGGGGGTATAAGAGTTCTAAAATTGAATGTTACAGAATCCCAAATTAGTAGTAATAGTCTCTAGAGAGTAACAATACTTTAAAAAAAGGTGAACAGGGTCTTCAAGCAAAAGAGCCATGGAGTCAGCATAGAGTATGGCATGGTATATCTCTTGCAGAGGGGACATCTCTAGTTTTCAACTAAAGATAGATCGCCATCTATAGAAAAAGGTTGTCACATCTTTGCACCTTTGAATCAAATAAATAAGAGCAAGTCTACATGCTCTCAATTGGGAAGAATAAACTTGATGGTAAATAAGAACAAGACTACAAGTTCTCAATTAGGAAGAATACATTTGATGGCACCAAAAAAATGTAAAGATAGGTTTATATCTCAATAGAATAGAACCTTATAAGCAGAATGGATGCCAATATCAATAACAACTTCAGAGTTGTTTGGATACGTAATGATATTCTAATGCCCATTGAATAGAGGATATACTGCTATTGTGAAATCCGAAATTATGAATAACGTTGGTGCTAAAATATCAATAATAATGTTCCATTTGAACTGCAGGTTGAGGAAAAAATGATAAGAGTTTCTATTAGTAATGCTATATTTATCATGGAGTTTCATAATTGGCTTGACACAACAAGATCTCAAAGACACAATTTGAATACTTGCAATGTGATGGGTTTTTCCTTACTCGCAGGCTTCTTTGATTCACAAGTCAGAAATATTCCTACATAATTTGTTTAGTCAATGTTCTATCAAAGCTTCTCTTTTAATACACAATAAAGATCACAATGCCCACCCTAGCTTTAGAGATGTAACCACTTATGTATTTTTCTTTTTAGTTTGTAATTATTTCTAAATCATATTCGCTGATAGTTTGCCAAAATAAGATGTTACCGTCCCCAATATGCCTATATTTATGCATCCATTCTGACAGCACAAAATCTCTGGACATCAATGCTCTCTTCAAGTATTCAATCATAGCTCCAAGATAATTCTTAGCAGAACTCTCGACATGCCTGATATAAAAGAGCGAATAAATTCATCTCTTTTTTTCTTTTGAAATTTGGAAGTGTGTGGGAAGATCAAAAAGGCGATTTTGGCTAAAGCCTTTAAATGGAGAGATGCTCATTTAATACAGGATCTGTTTTAAGGAGCTGCACAATTTTTATCAATTGGTTTTCCAGTTTTTTTTTAGCTTATATGATTTTCTGTTTCTATTGGAGGCTTCTGTGGAGTTATTGGATGCGTCCCGCTGGGGTTTTGGAGCTGGGGGCAATGATGCTCAATTGCTGGGCTGCTCCCAGGATGGCGGTGGTTTGCAACCACTGCAATTGGACGGCAACATCTGCAACCGGGAGCTCTGATATTATCTGGCTTCAGCAATTGGTTTTCAACACTGAGCCCAACTATCACAGCTACCATTTTTTTGGTGTTTTTCTTTTTGACATGTGTAAATTTTGTGGCTGACATAGTTCTGAGGTGTTTTTTCACCTCTTTTTTCTTTTCCTACACATGTAACTAGTTTTTTTCTTATCAATGAATGGGCTTTTGCCCCTAAGTTTCCCAAAAAAAAGAATTTATATGCATTTATATGTTTTCTTAAATAGGATAAATGAAAATTTAATGCAATTTATTTCAGAATTTTTTTTATTTATATGCATTTCTAAATTCTCCTAAGTAGGATACAAGCAATTAGCTAACTGGATTTGCACTTTAATATGTGGCAGCAGCTGATTGGTACGTGGCTAAAACACAAGATTAAGGCTTCGTTTAGGACAGTTTTCTTACTGCTTCTTAAAGCAATTTTTTCGTATAAAAATTAAAAATTTTGTATTGAAAAGTTGTTTTAAGAAATAAAAAAGTCGTCCCAAACGAAGCCCTAAATCAAAATAATTCATATTAAATTGGAGCCATCTTATCAAAAAGATTGGACGATCCATATTGTGTCATACACAAAATACTTGGATGAATCCATGCCGTTCATCAAAGTTAGAGTGGATGATCTGGATTTCATCTTCCTCGCTCGTCACTCGCTACAAGGGACCATTGCAAGAGAAGTTTCAAAGCTATTTTGCTTCGTCATCTCTGGGCAAATAAGGCACCCTAGAGCTTAAGAGAAAGCTCTCATTTGAGAGCTAAAATTCGACAAAAAGAATTGGATAGGCTGTGCAGTTAAGTGTATCTCACATTCAAGCTAAAGGAGATGAGCTACAGGTGCGGAATAAACCTAGATAGAGCCATGGCTAAGCTTAAAAATTATATGTTAGCTTTCTTTATTTGGTCTTCTTCATTTTTTCAATAAAATTAGCCAGGCCCATAATTGTAGGAAGCTATTTATGCTAAAAGTGGTTGTCTAACTGAAGAATAAAAACAGTTGCATTTTATTTGTATGTAGAGGTATAATTATAGTATCTGCTACTTGCCAGGCAATTATACTACCATTCCTCTGTGTATAAATTTATAATGTAATAATCTCTCCATCACAAAGGAGAAATTATTCGTCGAACGCTATCCGGAGATCAATCAGAATGAGTCACGTCAGCAATACCGAGCGCAGTATCAAGCGATATTCTGGTTAGTCTCCAGATGTAGAGCTATGTTCGACGCCGCACAAAATAATTTCTCCCATCAAAGGACCTCATAAAAGCCTTTAATAAATGAAACAATCCATTATGCAAATTGGTAGAATCAAGGCAAGTTGAAGCCACCCAAAAGCACATAAACATAGAAATTGATGCAATCCAATTCAAAATTTCCAATACTATAATTACAAGATCTTTATTACATATGATAATATGGTAATAGCAAGAGTATAGAATTTGGCAAAGAAATTATACAATGCTCCCTTTCTTATAAATTTCTTCTTAATAGATCACAGATTAATGGAGCATACCTTCCACAATCTATTTCTGCGGATGGGCAGCAAACCCAACACATTTTCCTTCTGCCCATGCTGAGAAATCCTATTATAATAAGCTTAGTAAGAGCTACAAAGAGTACAGCATACATAGTCGGCGTTTAAGGTAAAGTACAATATTCAAATACGCAATTGGTAGTAGTCCTGCAACCATGGCGCTGATCTTACAGAACTCACTCAGATGAAACATAGCTATGGCGCCAAGTAACGGCGATGGGGCTCCTCACCTCATGAACTCCATCATTCCAAGAAATCCAGCCAAACTGATTAGAACCCTCCGCTTCAGATCCAGCCGTGGAAGCAAACGTTATCTCATAAGACAAGCTCGAGTTCACAAGATCAAACACCAGCTCGCTCGGCGTCACCTTCACACTCACTCCCGCCGGGCTAGCAACCTCCACCTTATATTTCACAGAACTAGAATATCCCAAGCCGACGTTCTTCACTGTTCTACTGTAAGTAATCACATCTCTGATATTCGAGAAAACGACAGAAAACGATGCGTAGTTGAGTGCTCCAGGATTCGATAAGGCCTTTGAGGAACAATCCACGCTAGTTTCATCCCTTGTGAACACCGCAATCTGGCTCGAGCTGTAACCAATGGAGCAGAGGAAAGCAATGTAGTCCTCAAAGCCGGCGTCGTAGACCAAGCCAGGGTCCAGGGCTTTGTTGGGATCCACATGGCCGGCGCCGCGGACGAATGGCGTTGACTCCTCGGCGGTGGAGAGATCCTTGATGGTATTGCCGGAGTTGTCGAGGTTGTAGGCTGTGGTGATGAGAGCGGATTTAATGGCCGCAGGGCTCCAATCCGGATGGGCGCCGCGGAGGAGCGCTGCGACGCCGGAGACGTGCGGGCAGGACATGGAAGTCCCTGAGATTATGTTGTATGCGACTCTCCTCGGGTCGTTGTCAAGGTTCGTTGGGCTGGCCGCGTCGGTCCACGCTGCTAATATGTTGATGCCTGGTGCGATCACATCGGGTTTCAGAATCTCCGGTGTACGGTAGTTGGGGCCGCGGCTTGAGAAAGACGCCACCTTTGGTGCCGGAGGGTCGCTGCCAATGACCGTTCCCCGGAAAACAATGGTGGCGGTCGGAGATGACGCCGTGCTTATGTAAGTGCGGATCTTGTCACCGGCGAAAGCTCCGACCATGGTTGCGGGGATGAGGTGAGAATCCGCGGTAAGCTCGTCGCCATAGTCGTCACTATTTGCAAGGATCATGCCGGCACCGCCGGCGATCTTGACTGCGCTTCCCTTTTCCACGCGTGCGTTGCCGCCGCGTTCGCAAAGTACGATCTTGCCGGCTGCTTTTGATGAATCCAGATACCCAGAAAGGCATAGCCGAGACCCCAGGTCGCCGGCGTACACGAGGGGTAAACCTACGACGGTGATATTATCGTCACCGGAGTAGAGGGATACTCCTTTATAAACATTCCCGTCGCCAAGGACAACATCGGCGGGGAATTCGCGATCGAGGCTCGAAGCCCCGACGGTTATAATCCACGGCGCGATGTTTACCGCGGTGTAGGAATAGGGGCCGGAGTTGCCTGCGGAGCAGGACACTACAACGCCGTGACGGGCTGCGCCGAAGGCGCCAACGGCTATCGAGTCGCGGTAATACGCCGGGGCATAGCCGTTTGAGCCAACGGACAGTGAGATGACGTTAGCGCCGTCCGCAACGGCGGCGTCCATGGCAGCAAGAATGTCAGAGTCGAAGCAACCAGGTGCCCAGCAAATCTTGTACACGGCGATGTGGGCGTTAGTGGCGATTCCGCGAGCTTCTCCGCGGGCATAGCCGAATAAGCTGGCGTCGGAGACGACGGCGCCGGCAGCGGTAGAAGCGGTGTGGCTGCCGTGGCCTTCGGTGTCTAACGGTGATCGGGACTCGAGGGTCTCATCGATGGGATGACCGAGGGCGGCCTCATAGCCCTTGCAGAAGAATTTTGCGGAGATCAGCTTGTTGTTGCATAGGGAGGAATTGGGGAAGGCGCAAGAGGAGTGGAAAGTGGAGGGGGGAGAGGGGAGGGTGGGATCGGCGAGGAAAGAAGCAGAGGAAGGGGAGATGCCGGTGTCGAGGAGGGCGATGACGACGGAAGAGGCGTAGGAGGAGAAAGGCCAGATGCCGGAGGAGGGCGAGAGGTTGAGGAAGGAGGGTGTGTGGGTGGTGTGGAGAGAGCGAGGGCGGTCGTGCACGACAGAGAGGATATGGGGGAGCCGGCGGAGGGCGGCAGCCTGGGTAGTGGATAGGCGGGCTGAGAAGCCTGCTGCGACGAGCTCATAGGTGTAGAGGATCTCCGGGGTTGGGTACTGTGGGAGGGAGCGGAGAGTGGAAGAATACCAGTGGGAGGACGACGGGGAACTTGGTGGCCGGAGTGATGGTGACACGTGGACGATGTAGGTTGATTGGTAGTTACTGTTCGCCGCGATGACGGCGGAGGAGAAAAGTATGAGGAAAAGGAGGGAGATAATCGATTCAAAGGAGACGTTTTTATCCATCGGTTTATTCGGACGGCAGATCGCCGGAGTTGCGGCGTTAGGGTTAAGGCTCGATTGGGCAGTGGAGCCTTGACTGTAACTCTGTAAGTATGTATCTTAAATGAGTAATAGGGAAGGCTCGCTTCGTAAGTGCAGCTATCTTTTAAATTAATTACGGATATGCCACTTGATGTATGCTGGCGATTTAAGAGGGCGAGTTAAAGCTTTGGTAATGAAACTTGGAATTGGATCGTATCGTGATTTCTTGATGGAATGGAGGGTATTTTCATCCTTTAGCAGGCAATGGAGAAGAAGATGAAAAGCGAATCTTAGAACTCCTAGAGAGTTGCTGTCGCTAAGTGGACCCACTGGCAACGTAAGGTGGGACCACATTGGACCTCAGCCTATGGCCCCGTAACACCTGCTAGCTGTCTATTCCTTCTGCGTTACCGGATTTCACCGGATAAAATTTAGCCACGTGGCATGTGTTCAGCGGCGAGAGTCATCCCAGCTCGGAATGATATAATCCTCTGTGTTGTCATCATTCACCTCTACTAATGGGGTTGTTTATAGTAATAGATTTTTTTTTTCAAAATTTATTGTTGATATAATTTTGATTTTTGGGATTTGCTTATTTAGCTTTTAAATACTTCCCAATTGATAATTCTATTAATAATCTTTATCTTAAATTTCATATTCTGAAAAAGTTAATTAAGAAGCAAGTTTGAACCTCTTCTAAGCATATCTTTATTTCTATTGAGTCTCTTAAGAAGCAGTAAAGTAATTTGTGTTGTCAAATTCAAAAGGATCCTCTGAATCAAAATCTTAATTTGGCTCTCATAAAAGTAAATTCTCTTCTTAAAGACAATCTATCTCATTGATTTTTTTGGATTATTCAAAGGGCTAAATTGAAATGTATGTCTTATAGTGAAGAAGATTTAGGTTTCATTTGCTCTTTTTTTTTTTTTTTAATAACTTATGAGGTACGTGTCATGGGTTTTCTTTACTCTAAAATCAAGTGCAAGCAAAATTCTAATAAGATTTATGGTATCTCCTCCTCTGAAGGGATTGCCATGGATCCTAAAAGCATTCATTGCTAATGTCTTTGAACAACATTTTAAGTATGTTTTTAATTCTCCCACTCTGGAATTTGCTTCTTCTTTTAATATTATCGACTAGGAATGTTATTCCTGATTTTATTAAATCTTCTTTGGTTCTTCCAGCTTCGGTTGAAGAAATTGAAAAAAATATTTTTAATAGTTCTAAATCTTCTGCTCCAATTCTAGATGGTTTTTACTTTCGAATTTTTTAGAATACTTGGGAGACTATTGAACCTTTTCTTTGAAAAATTGTTCTTTATTATTTTAATTCTGGATTCATGTCTAAGGCTGCTAAGGTTATTGCTATTTATCTTATTCTTAAAAAGAACAATGCTACCAGTGTTTTGGATTTCAGGCCTATTTCTTGGTGCAAAGTTTTTAATAAGATTGTGAAAAAAAAAAATTTGGCTAACAGGCTGTAGGGAGTTAGGCCTTTTATTATTCTTAATAGTCAAGCTGGATTTATTAAAAATAGAATTTCTATGGATTATTTTATTATAGCTGCTGAACTTTGAGATTTAAATTCTTCTTCTGGAGAAAAGTGTTTTTGTGCCGAATTAGATATCCATAAGGATTTTGATATTATCTCCAAAGAAATTTTAATTACTATAATGGTTTAGAAATATTTTCCTCAAACTTTTATCTTCTGGATTGAAGAGTGCATTGATGAGGTTTATTTTTTTCTTTATCCTTAATGGATCTCTTCATGGGTTTTTTAGTTCTTCTTCGATTCTTTGGCAATGTTGTCCTCTTTCTCCTTATCTTTTTTGTATTATTATGGATACTTTCTCTTGTCTATTGGGAGATAATTCTCATAATGATAATTTTGAGGGGGTAAAGGCTGTTGATGATTCTCTATCTCATCTTCTGTACACTGATGATCTTCTTATTTTTGGTAAAACCTCTTTTGAGAATGCTAGCAAGCTTAATGAAATTTTGGTTTATTTCCCTTTTGCTTCTGATTTGTTCATTAATACTTCTAAGAGTCCTCTTATCATCTATAAAGATTGTCATTTAGAGGATCTTATTAGTCAAACTCTTTGCATTAGTGTTTCTTCGTATCCTTTAAAATATTTGGACTTGCATGTCTTAGGTAAAAGGCTTATGATTTCAGATTTTTAGACTTTAGTTGTATAACTATGCTTTTGGCAGGTTGGAAAGTTAAATTACTTTCTTTTTCCAGCATGGTTCAATTCCTTAAATTTTATATATCAAAAGTTATTTCCTATTGGATTAGGGGCATTTCTTTTCCTATTGTAAATTTATTAGAAAGGTTTGTTCTAATTTTCTTTTTCGGAGATTCTTATAGTTGGAATATTTGTAACATTGCCTGGAAAGATGTTTGCAAACCTGGAGATGTTGGTGGTCTTGGTATTTTTTATTCAGAAGCTTTTTATTTTGCTGGTTGATGTTCTCTTGTTTGGAGAATCATTAATAGCAATGGTCATTTGGCTATTTGGATAAAGTTTAAGTATATCTATTTTTTAAAGCCTTGGTCTCAACCTATTTCTATTTTTTTGGAAAAATATTACTTCTATTGATAGAGATTTTAAAAGTAAGGTTTCATTTAATATATTTTTGAATTGCTCTCTTTCTCTTAAAATTTTCAATTTTTTTATGTTAACCTAGAGCAGTCAAAAAATTATTTCAGGAGTCATTATAACTCCAAATTAAAAACTGTCTTCGCTAGAATATTTTTAGTGTTGTGTTTTAGCTTCCCTAATTTTTTCATAGTTTTTGGGCACTATTGAATTTTTTTAAGAAATCAGCATCTATCGATACAAGTGGGGTTTTTTGGATCGTTAGGTGTCTGTTTTGTAAACTGATCTCACCAAAAAAATTTAAATAAAATGAGCTAATTTATGAGTATTTTTCTATAATTTTGGGAATCTCTAAAAGAATTTTATTGAATTTTTTATTTAAAATTAATTATAATAATGCTATTATGTATTATTTAATGATTAAAAATAAATATCTTAAAGGAATTACATATTATTAAATGTCATTTCCTTATGACATTTTAGCTTTTTCCAAATAGAGAGTTATTTAGGGATTTTGGGATGAAAGGGAGGAGTAAGAGGGAAAAGTTTGATTTTGAGCGACTTCGAGTCATTTTCTCCTTGTCGGTTCATCTGAGAAACTTGTTCGTCTTAAGGTAAGTCATATTATGTCCATCTTAATTTTTATAAATGCGTCATTTTTAGTGAATTTTTTTTATTAAAATTTTGTATCTGTTAGCCAAAAAAGATGGTAACTTTGCATAGGTAAAACTTTCAGCACATAACTTTTTATATGTTATAGAGATTATAATTATACATATTTTGAAAAAAAAAATTGGAAATTTTACAATGGGGGTTTTAAAATTTTTGGGGTTTTATTGAATAAAAAGCTATCTGAATGTTGAGAATAGTAGTTTGGCACAATAAAAGTCTTAAAACATCGTTTTACATAATTCATGGTAATTTTATGAAAATATGTATTTTTGACTTATATGACTTTCTATTGTCTATCGTTATACAACACTATGAAATTTTGATAAATACTCAATTATTCTTTAATTATTATAATGTAATAATATATGTGCATATGCGATTAAATTATATTTGTTGGAAGATATAAGAGGTTAGAATCCTCTGAGATTTTGTGTGTTAAGGAATTACTATGAGTTATAAGAGGTCAGAATACATTGAAATCCTATTTAAGATAGGGATATGTGATATATTCTTACGCTATAAGTATAAAAAAAGGGAGTTATAAGAGGTCATAATCCTTTTACATTCTGTTTGGATTTGAGAAGTATGATATAGAGAAGTATGATATAAATTATTCTTTGATATAAATTTTATTAATTATTTATTTATTCAGTATTATTATTTAAATCAGGTAATAACTGTTATGCATTTATTACATCTCTAAGTATAATGATTTATTTAAATTACATTTAATTGCTTTTAAACATTCAATAAATATTTGATAAAAGAATATTTAAAATTTATATTAGTTTGTATGGCTTGTTGAGCTGTTGTAGTTCATTATAGTTTTGTTTCTAATTTTCAGGATATATGAAGGGGAAGGAGATTGTGAACTAGAAGTTCATGATCATATTTGAGTTCACATATATTTTGCTTTTTTAATTTTTGCACAGTCATGACTAGTTAAATTTTCAATTATGTAGCTATTACCTATAATCAAGTAATGTAGTGTCGATATTTATTTTGATGAAATGAAAGACACCTGGTTGATGAGTTATTTTTAGTATTTGGATATTTTAATAGATATGTAGTCATTTGTTTATTTCAATTAATATTAGTAAAAAAATTTAAAAAATTAAAATTAAAATTAGATCTAAGGATTTATTTATCTGTCACGGCTCAACACGATAGGACCTGTCCTGATCGGGTTGGGTTGTGTCATATGATGTCTGAGAAATTATCTTCATGAGATGGCTGAGACTGCTAGAATTAATATCAGTTAGGGGTGTCAATATTTGACACGACTCGAAAATCCGACCCGAACCCGACCCGTTTGAAAAACTGGTCGGGTTCGGGTTTCCTAGATTCGACCCGTTTGAAAAAACGGGTTGGGTTTGGGGTTGCCGAGTACACCCAAAAATCCGTTTATTTTAAACCGTCTCCCGCTGCCGCGATCGCGCTCACAAAACCTGAGCTCCTTCTCTGCCTCGCGGGTCGGGTCAACCCGGCAACCCACCGGGTCGGGTCCAGGTTCAAATTTCTGATCCGTTTGAACCCGGGTCAGTTTCGGGTTCGACCCGAACTTGACCCGTGACCCGAAATTGACACCCCTAATATCAATTCCATAAATTCAAGTTGGTGGAATGGATTTCTAATAGTTGCTAGAATTTGCCTACTTCTTTGTCTATGGCTATTAGGTTAACTATTTCTTATATTTCAATTATTGATTAGCAAGCTTCAAATAATATTTTTTGGAATTTAATTCTTCTTTCTTTCAAAATGTTTCATAATGCTGTTTATGATAATTTCTCTAAGTGGAT